GAGTGACCTACCTCCACATCGCTTAGAGCCCTCTCCTCCCTTCACACACTGTGGCATGGACTGTTTTGGTCCATTTGTGACAACTGAGGGAAGAAAACAACACAAACGGTATGGACTCCTACTTACTTGCTTTTGTTCTCGTGCCATTCACATTGAGTTCTTAGAGGACTTGTCTACTGATGCATTTATTAATGCATTAAGATGTTTCATTTCAATCAGAGGTGCAGTTCGACACATCCAATGTGACCAGGGAACGAACTTTGTTGGTGCTCAGAATGAGTTTAAAGCAGCTTTAAATGAGCTAGACACTCAGAGACTAAATACATACTTGACTGAAAAACAATGTGACTTTGTGATGAACGCACCCCATGCTAGTCATGCAGGGGGAGTGTGGGAACGTCAGATAAAGACTGTCAGAAGTGTGCTGAATACCACTCTGTCACTGGCTCACGACAGACTCAATGATGCTTCATTACGGACGTTATTCTACGAAGCCATGGCTATAGTCAATAGCAGACCCTTGACTATAGATAACTTGAATAGCCCCAACAGCCTGGAACCGCTCACGCCCAATCATCTACTGCACATGAAATCCAATGCACCGTTGCCCCCACCTGGTGCCTTTTCAAATGAGGACCTGTACAGCAAGAAGAGGTGGCGCCGCGTGCAGTTCCTTGCAGAGCAGTTCTGGAGCCGCTGGAGATGAGAATACATTCACAACATCATTTCAAGGCAAAAGTGGCACTCACCAAAGAGGAATCTAAAAGTAGGTGATGTTGTGTTGGAAATGGATGAACTGGCACCCAGAGGGGAATGGAGACTTGCAAGAGTTGTAGAGACTGTCAGTGGAAAAGATGGACTTGTGCGAAGGGTAAAGATCTCACTTGGAGAAAAGAGACTCAATAATAAAGGTCAACGCTCTACTAAACTATCAGTTGTTGAGCGTCCAGTACAAAAACTTGTATTGTTGTTAGAAAGTTCCTAAGGTAACTCCTACATGGGTTATTTTGTTTGGGAAAATTATTCATTTTGGTTCTTATGTAAACCAATTATTCGTAATTTTGGTGGGAGTGTAAATAACCCTGAATGCCTTTCTTTGCACCTTATTTTGGCACTCATTCCTGTTTTCTACTACCAACTTCCTGTCCGTGTGTAGAAGCTTTTATTTTGATGGGACGATTTCCTGTAAAACAGTTTTTGGCGCAGTTTTCAGCAGCAGTCGCGGGAGTTTAGAAAAGTGATGGCTTAACGGAGCCTATGGTGATTTCTTTTGTCATTAGCAGCCCCCTTGATAGAGGCACAAGGTATGGTTATGATGTAAATAAGGAGACGTTTAGATGTTTTTGTGACAGTCGCTACATTTGTTAAATGTTACGTTGAAACGAACTTCATGTTATAAGGTTTACGATTGTAAGAGTGTGGATTATTTTGCTTACACGCTGTTTCTGTGTATACATCCCCAGCTCTTACGGTGAGATTGATGGTTTACTGCCATTAAACCTTCAAAACGTCATCAGTAAAGTGTCATCCTTCATTCGGGGGGGTTCGCTACACACACTATTGAGATCCTGTTTCTCTTTAAACTTTATTCTTATAGTTGCTCCGCGTTTTTCGGCACTTAACTACTCCCTCAGTTTTCAGCCGATTTTCTCCGTTCAAACTCTAAACTGTTCTGCTCTTTCTGCTAATTCCAGCTATATCTTTTGGTGTTTATTGCTATTATACTATTTAAAATATTACACTTTTTTCCTTTAATTTGTCCCATTGAAATGAATGGGAAACTTCCACAATTCTGCTAAAACTTTCTTGTCTTTGAAACTTAACTACTGCCTCATACTTTGACTTAGAAACTCCATTCAAACTTTAAAATGTTCTCAAATGATTGGGCTATTCCTGTGTGATTCAGCTTTTTCATATCTGTTACCGTTTTCATGTAATGACTCTTTAAGTTTTCAGTTGCAACTTTGTGATTTTTCAGAAAATACATGCGTTGCTATGGTTGCTATGCAATTAACTCCCAGTGCACACTCGTCTGTTCTGAATTTTCTCTTCATGTCTGAACAACTCCTTGCTACTCACTCAATTTCCACTCAACTTCCACAAATTATACATCAAAACGTAGGTATTTTTGCTGGCTTTAAGTAGAGCTGGGCGATATAAGATTTTTTCATATCACGATATGTTTTTTTCATTTCAGGCGATAACGATATCTATCACGATATAAGCCAAATAACTATATTTGTAAGATTTAAATGTGCCGTTGCCCACAAGTAAAATGTGAAATAATCAGCAGCTTGTTTTTATTTAAATATTTATTTCCCATAATAAGTTCAACAGGGTAGATGTACTTAAGGAACATGAGACTTTTTCAGATAAATAAAGGCAAATATTGCAAACTACACAAAAGGCAGCCGCTAAAGTGTTTAAGTTTCAAAATAGAACAAACGAAACAGACTAAATTGTCAATTCCACTTAGAAACAAAATATTAATTCTAAAAATAAATCTTAGTTTGTTTTACAGAAGAACAGACAAAACTGACTAACTTTTGTCAATATCAAATAAACTGAGAACTAAAAGGAAATTCTCAATCTCTCCTTGTTGTATAGCTTAGCTTTTCAAACAGTTTTAACAGTTACTTTAGTCTGACAAAAGCCGAATGACGAATTAGCGCTTCCAGTCAGAGACTGAGGCTACGTCCACACGTACACGGGTATTTTTGAAAACGGGTTTCAACTTTTTCAGCTTTTTTCAGCAGATTTTCTCTTCATGTCCAAACAACTTCTTGCTACTCGCTCAATTTCCACTCAACTTCCACAAATTATACATCAAAACGTAGGTATTTTTGCTGGCTTTCAGGAAATGTCACTATCATTGTTGTGGGAGTTACAGATTTTTTGCAAATCTCCTCAGAGCAACAATAAGTCTCAAAACTCTCCATTGAAAGTCAATGGAGAGTTTATTCAAAATCATCGCTGGATTTCTCTAATGAGAGGCATTTTCAAATTGTCATATCTCCTTAACGAAGCGAAATTAAGACATGAGGCTTGTCCCGATATATCTTCAGACACTCCTGATGCTCACAATTCAAGAATTATTTTCTCACCTATTACCGTTCTGAGATGAGTTAGACTTGTTTGAGGGTAGGAAATTTGTCCCTCGCTCAGATTTCTTCAGATTTCAAACTCTGGAAATGAGGGACTTTTTTCTCTCATCATATCTTTTTGATGGATTTCCACAGAGCCCTGAAAATTTCCATGACTGTTCACCAAAGCCTGCTGTTTCTTACGGTGAAAGAACGATTTTGATGCTCCATATAGATTTAGAGTTACCAAAGGTTGTTTGAGGGCAAGTCAAGGCAGTTTTTGCTTCGCCTCTACTCAGTTACAGTGTATTACAAGTCATATATCTTTAATAATTTATATTTTATCTCTGAATTATGAAGACCTGAAGATTTCCCCCATCTCTTCTGAACAAAACGATGTCTGAATGAACGTTCTAGTCTCTACGGTTAGGAAATTATGGCCATTTGTTCGAGGGGAATCCTGAATGTCAGAAATACACTGAAGAAAACACACCTCTCTCTGTGTCTGTGTGTGTAAGGGCTGACTACAGCAGGTGCAGCTAATTTAACTGACCTACATATACCAAGCCCAGACTCTCAACAGCTCCTGTTCCCTTTACTGTCTGTGTATGTGTGTCTGTGTATCAATATTTCTCCTATGTTTAAGTATTACTCCTCAATCATAGTATTTCTGCTAAAGCAAAGTACTTCTACTACATCTTAGTACTTCTGCTAAATCATAGTATTTCTGCTAAATCATAGTATTTTTGCAAAAATCATGGTATTTGTGCAAAATCATGGTTTTGGGGCCAAATCATAATATTTCTGTTATTTTATAATATATGTGCTGAATATATTATACGTGCCAAATCATAGTATTTACCCCAAATTATAGTATTTATGCCAAATTACAGTATTTCTGCTAAAACGCAGAAATAGTACCTTTTAGCAGGAATTTCTACCAAAAGATAGTACTGCTGCTAAATCAGAGTATTTCTGCTAAACCAGAGTATTCCTGCCAAATCATAGTATTTGTACTGAAACATAGTACTTCTGCCCAATCATAGTATTTGTACTAAATGATAGTACTTGTGCCAAATCATAGTATTTGTGCCAAAGCATCGTATTTGTATGGAGTCATTGTATTTCTTCTAAATCATAGTATTTCAAGCAAATCTCAGTAGTTGTTGTTAAAACGCAGTATTTCGTCACTTGGATGAGTGACGAAACGTTTCTCCAACTGAAAATGTCCAGATGAACAGAATCAACCTTTTGGGATTTACTTACCTGGATGATTAAGCACACATCAAGACGTTATTTTATTAAAAATTTTAAAATGTTAGCAGCACAAACAAGCATTTTTGCAACACAAACCAGCACAAACGTTTGACATCAATTTTGTTTGATTCCATTAATATGGGGGGGCTGGTTGACCTCTAGAAATTTTTGTTAATATCTTTAAAATAATAACGGCACAAACAAAAATTTCTGCAGCACAAATGTAGCACAAACGTTTGATACCACTTTTGTTGGATTTGAAGAAGGTGGGGGGGGGGCAACTTCACTCACATAAAACCTTGGGCCAGCTAGTGTTATCACAGTAAAGGCATTGTTTTTGAAGTAGGAAATGGCTTAACAGGCACAAGAAGAGGCGTGGTTGTAATTCCATATGTGCACGTATATTTAAAAAAAAAACAAAAAAACAAAACAATTCATATTGTTAATTTTTAAAAATCTTTTTTTTAAAAGCATCTAATATCTCTCTAATATTAAATTAATTTTTTTTAAAATTTATTAAGTAATTTCTTTTTTATTTTAAAATTAGTGTCGACCCATTAAGGTAGTGCACAGTCGTTAAAAGCACCATTTAATTGGCGACACCTGCAGTTTGGGGGTGTGCTTGAAACTCCGGAGTGAAATATTTGTAATATTTTTTTTTTTAAATTCACACCAACTTTAAACTTTTAAAACACTAAGTGGTTGAGGAGGCTGTCGCAACTTCGGGCCTTAAAACTAAAAACTTAGTGGCGCAAGAGCCACTTCAGAGGAAATTTGGCTAACGCTAGCTAAACGCTAGCTAAGCTGGTTGAAAAATAACACCAACACATAGCATTTACAAGGGGCTGGAATTAGTGGTACAGTTTGCATCTAAACTCAAAAATGGTAAGTGTTTATTACATAAGTGATTTTAAGCCAACAGAAAAATAGCCAGCTATTTTATTTATTTTTTAAACCACTGTTGGTCATTAGTAAGCTAATGTTATTGCGAGAAGCTTGGAAGTATGGTAGAGAAACTCTGATGTCCGGTCAATATCTCATCTGGAAAAACTACCTCACCTTTGAGTTTACACATTTAAGCATTTTTAGTGGAAAGTATTTATGACCGCAATTTGAGCCCATAGAAAGACGCAACAGTGTTTGACTTTGTAATTTAACAGCGGGAGATCATGAAGAGTGTGAGCCACCTGCAGGCCAGCCAGCTGCTCCATAACAAGTTCATGGTGGTGTTGGGAGACTCCAGTGAGTAGCTGGCTGACAAAATTAATGAATCGGTATTTACATTATCTTGTGCATTTATACTTAAGGTGTTCTTGTTTGCCCAACGTTGACTGTTTTGTGAATAAACTGTATGTACCGTTCACATCCACTTCATTAGGTTCAGTTTGGTTGTGCTGGAATTGATACCCGTTTACCTTCATAAATAACATAGGCTAGTTCTTCATGACATTTGTTCAAGTTCAAATAATGGCATCAGACACGCAGATTTGTGTGTGGCATCTTTATTATACAAGAGTGTGGTAACCATATCTGTTCACTGTGATCATAGGGATGAACATGGTCAGTAACTACACTCAGGTATGTTGCAGTGTATTTGCAAATATGTGTAATTTAATGGGGCAGCACTAAAATTACCCCAGATGAGTGTTTTGCCACAACCAGGTTAAATTGTTCACCCAATCCAGGAGGGATCCATGTTTTCATGTTGTTAACCCTATGAAAACTCAATGTTCTAAGCCCTAAATTCTGACCTTATTCAATGTATCCTGTGCCCCAGTGTCAACTGCTGTCATCAAGACATTTTTATCCAGAAGTCTTGTATATATTTTTCCCTTTCTAAACCATTCTCTGGCTCAAATTGATGGTAGTAATCAAGTTCAGTTTATCAGCAATTTCTAAAATGCTAAAACCAGCCCATTTTCTGCTAAGTGATGAATTAAATATTAAAGTGCACTTGGAAAGGTGTGCCCAATGAAAGGACTACTATCGAATCTGTATAATGTAATGTACTAATCTATGGGGACTACTTCTAATCTATCATTTTATTTCTTCCTCAGTTCAGCGGGCAGTGTACAAGGATCTTGTTCTGCTGGTACAAAAAGAGAAATATCTTTCCTTGAGACAACTGCGGAGCAAGGCAAGGGCTAAAATTTACCAGTTTTATACACTGATACAAAAAAGCGTGCAGGGTGTATAACCATGTGCATGCTACCAGTTAAAACCTCAGCTAACTTATGCAATATAAAGTTTGTAATCATGCCACTGGTGTCATTTAAATTGTAATGTAAAAAAATGGGTGTATTTGAATGACGTGCTTTATATCTGTTCACCTCCTCGTTTGTGTTGTCCTCACACTTCTTCTTTAGGGTGAGATGAGCTTCGAACAGGACTGCCTGGTGGAAGGGGGCTGTCTGGGTCAAATGCACAACGGCACAGAGTACAAGGAAGTTCGACAGTTTCAGTCCGCCCACCATCTGGTCCGTTTTTACTTAGTGACGCGTATCTATTCTCGCTACATGAAGAGCATCCTGGAGGACTTCCGCCATGGTTTGAAACCAGATGTGGTTTTTGTTAACTCCTGTGTTTGGGATATTTCAAGGTGAGTATATTGCGTAACTATTAATAAGGCTGTTGATTTGATTTCATTAAAGAGATAATGTGAGATGAGTCAGAAGTGAGAGTGATGGAGTTTTTTGTGTGCATCTATCAGTTCAGAAGAATCATAGCACAACTTTTTGTTTTCCCAATTGAATTCCTCCCACTGTAGTGATTTTTGTTCTTCCTGTTTATGTCTGCACTGGGTGTTCTAGATACAGTTGCAGCTGGGTTGATGACTACAAGGAGAACCTTCATAGGTTCTTCGACGAGCTGCGTGAGGCTCTGCCAGAGGAAACGCTGGTTGTGTGGAACCTCACCATGCCCTTAGGAGAGAGGATCAAAGGCGGTTTCCTGGTGCCTGAGGTCCGTTAGCAAGTCCCATTTATATTATGATTTAACACTAATCTGATCGTGTTAAACACATTGCATGTCAAAAGTCTCTTGTCATCTGGGGAAAGCTGATCTAAAAAATTTGCATAAGCCATGTGCCTGTAGTGGATAATGTGATGCCACTGTCCTCTCAGCCAAGTGCTTTTAGAGGCTGAGTAACAGCAGAAATCGAATAGCATTAACATCTGAAACCCCAAGGGTCATTTCTATTTGAAATGACATGCCCAAAATTAATAGTATATTGGATATGTCAGTATTTCTTTGTTTATTCAGAGTTGTAATTGCAATCTTGGTATCAAAATAAAGCTTTTGAGACTTCATCAGAGGTGTAACTATTACAGCAGATGCTACTGTGTCAAAGTGGGGATGCCTAAATTTCTTTTATAAATTTTAATAAATATATTATGGTGCGATCTGTAGTTTGAGTTTTTTTTAAATACTTACTTTATAAATTAAGTATTTAAAAAATTATTAAATTATTAAATTATTTAAAAATTATTTAATTTTTTTTATTTTACCATCTTCTGTTTTGAACCTTAAAGCCCCTTATTTGCCTCAGATTGAGCACAAGGCACCCCAGTTGCGCTACGATGTGATTGAAGCCAACTTCTACAGTGGAACTCTGGCCGATGTCTATGGGATGGATGTATTGGACCTCCATTTCCAGTTCAGATTCTCACTGCACCATCGAATGAAGGACAGAGTCCACTGGAACGCAGTTGCTCATCGCAAGATAACTTCTCTTCTGTTACAGCACGCTGCAGAGGCCTGGGGTGTGATATTGCCCTGTCCTGTGATATTGCCCTGTCCTGTGACTGTCTATGGTGAAAGGAAGTCAGGAGTCGCACGTACATGCAGGAAAATATTTTGCACTTCTAGGATAAAATGTGGTTTGTTGGTGTCTAAGCTTTCTGCAGGGTTTGAACTTCACCTTTTTTCTCCCCTTTTTTGGGTGTAGATCACACGGAGGTTGCTGAGGAACAGCCAACCTATAACAGTGCCTATTCATCCTATTCATCCTGCTCCAGTTCCACCACCTTCTTCATCACGGTACTACCTGAACGGATAAATATATTTAGAAATACTTTAATTTGAATAATTGATTTTTCGGGGACCAATTTCGAAAGAAGATCAGATATCGTGTTTCCCAAAGTGCAAAGTTGACGCTTTCCGAGTGTGCCCGATCTCGCGTATTCCTAAATTTTAGTCATTGTAATTTTTTAAGGGGCAAGTTGAGGATTTCCACTTGTTTACACTCCAGTGTGTGCGGTGATACCCCTAATTCTGCTTTCAGGGTGTGTCTCCATGTAGTTCAGAAGCGAGAGTTGATACCAAATGCTTGTTGAAATCTAAAGTTTTCGTTTTACTTTTGCCTGAAGTTCGACAGGGAGCAGCTCTGTATGTTTCAATTCCGCTGTAGGGCGCTTTAGTTTGGAAACTGAAAGCATTTTTGTGCAGAGATGGAATGTAACAGCCTTTTCAAAATAAAAACACAAACAAGAGGAGCTCTTTGCTGTATTTACTGTATTTTTCAAAAGCAGGTTTTTATATACATTTTCTTGCTTTGGTCGTGGATGTTTTTTATGCCTAAAAGAAAAAGCAAATACTCCACTGATATGGGTTTAGAATTCAATTGCAGTTTTAGTCTGCAACAGAGATTTAGATTGATCTGAATACACTGTTTGTTTCTTGAAATCTGATCAACAGTTCATGAAAACTTGCCTAACCAGTCCTTCATTGACCTACAGCGTAAACCCAGTGTTAACCATTCCTCGCCGTCAGTCCCCTGACCGTGGTCGGGAGACACGAGGGGAGATGCTTCCTCCAGGGCCGAAGTTTGTCCTCCTTCGGGGTTAACTCCCTTCACTTTTGTGGAGTAGTGAGGCAGACAGAAATCAGCCGAGGCACCGGAGAGTACTGAAGAGATGAGGCTTTAATAACAGTACTGCACACTGCATAGCCTGTAGCCCGTTAGAACGCTGCTCCCGGTCGTCCTCTCTACCCATGACACACTCTCTCACTCTCGTTTCCCTCTTTCGCTCCCCGCGTTTCCTTCACGCGCATGATTGAGTGCTTGAACAAAGGCCATTCAGCCGCGGGCTTTACACTCTTGCCCGACACGGATATATGAAGAATGAAGGAGCTCTCCGGGGAAACGTAGTGCGCCTGTGGACTCAGCTTGACCACCTGTTGAAGGTAGTTTGATACCATGGCTAATTCTAGCATCACCGCATGTAGCCCCGCTGTTCTAAGAAAATATTACCCAGCTGAACTAGCTAGCAACGGTTTTTGTAAGTTAATGTGCTCTTCACGAATAAAGCTTCAAGCAGCTCAGACTATTAGAACCAGCTACACTTACACAATGTGAGATCAGTGCCTGCAACCTACAGCCTAACTCGTGCCTAAAATGCTGTCTGGAAACACATCCTTCCACATGTCACCACATTACTTTATGATACTTAGAGTTAAAAGAACGATGACAGGGCGAAATAACACAATAGCTGTCAATTCTCTCATTCCTTATATTATCTCCAGTCTTAGCAGAGGGCAGTGACACTATTATTCTAACCGGCAAAAGTTTATTCTATTCATCTTATGTACCTTTTTTGGATGAGTGACAAAATGTTTCTCCCACTAAAAAAAGATAAGACTTGATGAACAGAATCAACTTTTTAAGATTTCCTTACCTGGATGATTGAGCATACATCAATACACTTATTGATTTAAGTTCATAAGTGTGTGCAAACATTTCTTGCCTCTTGATTTAAATTTCTGAATGTAAAAAGTGAATGCATTTAAAGCAGGAACTGCACACCTAGCCATCAAAAGGTTGGTGAACTTAGGGTACTCATCCTACTGTAGGGTCCTGTTAAAAAAAATCACACAAGCATCACATCACCTCTGGTTATATTTTGTAAATTACAATCATACACTATACATTCCAGTCATCCACTAATCAGTAAACATCCATCACTACGTTCTCACTATTAAAAAGTACAATTATTTTCTAAATGGATTCATTATTGTCAGTCAGCTACACACAAACTATCTAAATCTTGCTGGGTTTGATGGCTTGAATTAATCAAAAAACAAAAATTGGAAGAAAAAAACTTCCATTTTTGCAAAATATACATTGAGAAAATTTCTGCTTTTGTCTGTGTCAACAAAATTAAAATAATTGTGAACGTACACTGACCATCAAAGAACAACATAAAAGCTTCTTCTGACATGAGAATTGTAGAACCGTGAAATCTACTCTGTCCTGATGAAGCTCTATAGACTAGCTCTACCATACACATGACTAAAGTGAAACTCTACTGACAAATTTAAAGAAAATTTCCAACTCTGACTCTGTCACTAGAAAAGTTCTAACCTCTTACACTTTTAATGCTAGGAATGATGATGGATTCTGAGTATTGGATGTGCATAACCTGTAGAACACTGATTTCTGGAAGTGTTCCTTCCAATGTCTATGAAAAGTTTATATCTAGATCTGTCTACAAATTCAGGTTAAAGTTCTAACATTTAAAGAAGAAGCCAGATGTGAATAGGTCTGGAAACACTGCCATTTGCCCTGGGCCAAAGCTCATTTAAAACGATTGGAAAACTGTTCTGTGGTCATTACATTGCATTACATTACATTACTTTTGAAAAGAACCAACAATAAGGCACAAAGTCCGAGGCCGGTTTGTTCGGAGGTTTATTAATTTATGTACAAGTGTGCCTGTCCCCGAGTTGGAGACTGTCTGTGATATAAAACAAGAGAAAATGTATATGGTGCAAAAGAAAAAAGAAAAAAAATTCAAAGCCCTCCCGCCCTTCTACAGTACTACATTTACCAAGCTATGTACAGCAGGTTCACATTTACTGACATCAGACATCCTTTTTTGTTGCAGGTCAACACTTGCTGACCACCATCTCTTGTCCCATCTTTAAGCTAACATGCTTGTAAAACCTTCGGGATATCATTCCGGCAGGCAGGAGACAGGAAATATTTACATCACCACGAACCAGTGAGTGTCTGTGTGTTCAATGAGTTCCAAACTGAGTGCATGCTTTCACTACATCTGTCAACACTCCCCATAAAGTAAATTAGCCTTATATACATAGTAGCAAAGCTTAGGCAGTGAAACATCGTCCAAAAACAACAACAACAGAAAAGAAACACCATTATCAGTGTGACACTGATGAATGTATGTGTGTTTAACAGTGTGGAAATCAAACTCACAGTCTTTGATTGAGCAGAACACACAGCAGTGTGAGTTTACAAGTGCCCCCCTTTTAGTCAGTGTAATGTTGAAGGATTTGCAATGTGCCATGAAGACATCTCTGAGCAACACAAGCACACACACACAGAAAGAAGCGCAAGTTCTCCATTAACAATACAACTATTACAAAGCATGGATGATGATGCTCTTAGTGAGGCCTTAATTAGAAACATTTTAATAAACATATAGGCTGTATAATATGTATTTTATTTGGGTCTGTCACCAGTTTGGCCTTTCTTGATAAACTGGTCTAATTTGTCATATTTTCAATTTTAACTTTCACCAGTGAGTGAGAGTCTGGACTGCTGGCAGGTACTCTTAAAAAATGTCACCTGACTGTATGTTGTTCCTAAACTTGTTTACATCATTAATGGTGCCTTCACAGAATGAGCGAGCTTCCCATGCCATGCACACTAATTTCACTTAGTAACATGGTTGGCTATAACAATCTAATCTAACTGTAAGGCATCCTGTTGTTCTTTAAGTGTTACACCTTTCCTGTCTTTTCTGCCCCGCCTACTCTTTATATTAACAATGTTCACATATTTCACCACATATATTAAAAAAAAAAAAAAAAAAAATCTTATATGTGAAATCGAATATGTGAATTTAACAGGTTATATTTATATTTGACTCAGCATCTAATCTACTTTCAGTTAGATGGTCAGCTTTCTGTTCATAAACTTCTCTAAACTGGCAGAAAAAGACATCTCTTTGGAAGTTGTCCAGACCACACGTCTGTATTCAGTCATGGTTGTTTTAATGCAAAAAGAAAAGCTGAAACAAACAGAATAAACAAGGAACTTACCAAACCAACACAAACTTACCATTGGATTACCCATAGCAATAAAGTCACAGATATAAAATATGGACATTCATATTAAAACACACTTCAAGTGTGATTCATCATGATCTGTGTGTGAAAACACTTAACACAATTAACAAAATCTTCTGCTAGCCATGAGTCGGTGTTTCTGACAGTTGGGACAATTGTATTTGTACTTCTTCAAACATCAATGAGAGAGGAGCTACATTGTTGCCAGGCTGGTGTGTGTTACAATTATCGTTACTACAACAGAGGCATCATGACTGATGACCAATTATGTTGTGGGAAAATGGAGTGTGAGCAAAGCCACAGACTCTACGAAAATACTTTAAATACGTCAACATAAATAAACACAGGGAAGCTAGTATTTCCTTTAACATTTACAAATAAATACTTGGTTTTGACCTTGGACCTTTTTAACTTCAAATGGCTGGAACACATTTTGAGAGGAAAAATAAAGACAGGTGTTTGCTTGAAAAGATGTCAAAGCGGAAAACACAAGTTGCACAACCAAGTACACTGAACATGCTCAATAGTATAAAAGTTTATGTTGTGGTACTTACCGTATACTCAAACTAGGCATGTGTTTTAGTACATGTGAATGCTATGCATGTATCCTCCTCAGCACACCTTCTGACGGTATGAACAGGTTTTGTTTTTTGTTTTTTAAATAAATATATACACAATTTCAAAAAAAGAGATTGGAGGAAGACTGATGCAAGGGTGTATGTGATGGGTTTATGTGCCGGTCTTCTGTTCCCATTCCTGCAAACAAACACAAAGATTTGGTTTGCATACTTGTACACAGATTGCAAGTATTTGCATTTACTGGGATTCTCTCATTTGTTTACTACCTCAATGCATTTTTCATTGCTAGTCAGTACCAAATCAAATGAGCAACTACATCACACTTGTGTACGTGTTTGTGGAGTACTTAAACTCGCTTGTAGTTCACTGTAGCATGCAGTGAAATACAAACTTTATTAACCATCTTTATTAGCCTCACTGGTTATCTAGTTGGTGGAACTCCTCTGTGGACCTTGACACACACACACACAGCTGTTCTCTGCACTGCAGGAATCCTGAACCATAACGCTGCTGACCCGATCATTCTTATGCAAGTTGTTATGAGCTAACTCACACTGTTTCCACTGCTACCACACAGGTTCAAGACAAATGTAATTAAAATTACATATATTACATATGACTAAAAGAATGGGGATACTAACGTTACATTCATATTTAAATATGTCGATCTTAAGTCGAGGAATGCATCTTTTAGATGTATCAGAGCCTTTCAGAAGGTTCCAAGAAGTTGATTGCTTAAAATACTCAGCCTACTGTTGGAGCCACATCACACAAAACAGGGAAGTCAAAGACAATAAAACCAGATTTCAAAAACAAAAGACCCTGTCCACACCAAACAATGGATCAAACAATGTGCTTCCAAAAAGGTCCCAGCATAGTTTGAAGTTTTGCAAAAGACAGAGCTAGTCAGAGATGTAAAGTTAAAGGCACATCATATTCTCAGAGAAAGACTGGTGCCAGTCGCGTTGTGTAGCGTGACCTCTGACCTTAGCCTTCCTGAGGACATGTCCCCGGACTGCTGAGGGCTTCTGGTTGCCCTGCTGCCGGTAGAGCAGTGAGGCGCTGTTGACCGGCAGCGAGCAGGACTCGGTGTCACTGGTGTCACAGCTGGAGAATGGAGAAGACTCGTGTGTCCGTCGCAGCATTGCTGGTGACTATACAAGACAAAAATATGAAGGAAACATGAGTACTGTGAGTACAACTAATTTAGTTGTTAATATAGTAAATTGGGAGATGCAATTAGAAAATGAGAGTCCCTGCCCAAAAAGGATTCAGCGATGTAATCCGAGCTAAAGTTCTTCTTTTTCTTTTTGAAATGACGTCATTTTGCTAAGAGTGGAAACTAAATGCGACGATCGATTCCACTATCAGCAAAGAAAGAAAGAATGTATGAATGAATGAGTGAAAGAGAAAAAAACTGACTGACTGGTAAAAGCTGACAAGACTTTACTGATGTAACACGACTGTGCGAAGTTAACCCCCACCTGACAAAGGTGCAGTGTATGTGTGTTTCTTTTTACAGGTGCAGAAGGCTGACAGCAACATTCGAGGTTGCGTGATGGTTTTACCTTTTAAATGCCATTTTCTGTGTCTGTGCATCTACCAGGGGTGTTATTCACTACCTTGTGTTGCTCACAGAGATCACTGTGAGAAAGTATGCATACACCTGCGCAGCGCTAACATTTGCATTTTCTTTTCTACAGCATTACAGTTCTTCATGTGTTTGATCATGTGATTTATAAGAGGACTAGTTAATGGTTTTTTTACTACAGAATTTTTGGGTTTATGTGTGAAGAAACTGTGTTTACAGGTTATGAGTTTGTGATGCTGTTACACTGTGTTTTTGGGAAAATGTGAAGGTTACTTTGGTGATGTGAATAACATTCTTTCCACAGCTATGGATGGCTAACTTTATGGTGTTTTTATGGCACCTCTGGAACCTGTCGACCTGTGCCTGACCACCGATGGTCAATGTGTGTTGCTAATGTTTGTTTTTTCTAAGAGAAAAACAAATAAGAGATGCAGTGTTTATGGAATAGTTTAGTATGGGGCTCATTAGCTGGCCACTATTGAGCTCCTAGTAATATATGAGTGGAGTGACTTTGCTTAAGGGAAGTCACCGATTACATTAATGTTGACTGAGTACATGGGATGATCAATGTCTGAGGCGAATTATGGTAATAGTTGTAGTTTACTGATTTGAGAAAACCTGCACATGACACTTGTCTTGCTGATGTTGAATGCTTATTGCTCTTATGATACAATTGTTTACAAGTGTGAAGTTTGATTTCACTTCCAGATCTTGTTTTCCAGGCCATGATGGTATATATGCAGGCTCCTGGCAGAGCCAGGTGTTAAGCAAACTTAATATGCAAAACACGCTAATGGTAAATGGCCTGTATTTATATAGCGCTTTTACTAGTCCCTAAGGACCCCAAAGCGCTTTACATATCCAGTCATCCACCCATTCACACACACATTCACATACTGGTGATGGCAAGCTACATTGTAGCCACAGCCACCCTGGGGCGCACTGACAGAGGCGAGGCTGCCGGAGCTTCTTCTCGGATGAGAGGTGAAACGTCTTCAAGTAACTTAAAGAAGTCCAGACGCTTTTCTTTGCAAGCTCCTTTGACTACGATGACCTGGATCAGGGCCGTGCAGAGAGGTTTAAAGGGGCGGGTGCTCAAAGTTAAAAAGGGGCACATTGAACCAGGCTGAATAACAACAACACACATTCATCAAGAATCTAATATGGGAAGGGCAGGGCTGTGTTGATCTGAGACTGTAGACATTAAAGAGTCCATAGGAGAGATGGTAGCTGATTAAACAAGTGTCATGAGATAATAACAAAATGCAAAGATTGGTGACAGCGCTTGGAACCATAAGGCAACAAAAACTGTGAGAAATAATTTAGGCTCTGCCTGTGAATCACTCTTTGCTTCTCTTCTTCCTTCCATCCCATCATTTCATATATCACTCTCCACTTGCTATGTGAGAACAAGGCACAACTTGCTGTTGCAATAAACTATAATCTAATTATCCACACCTAACAACTCCAGCACTTAATCTATAATAAAATGATGACAGAAAAATGTTATAGCCCTGCCTTTAGTAGCCTCACACAGCTCCTGCTGTTTCCTCCTCATGTCCTTACCAGCCATGTCTGGAAAATGTTATATCATGAGTAATATTGTTTTTAAAACTCCATATACATAAAACACACACATGCACACACGCACAGGGATATTTTAGACCTTCTTCAGAATACTGTATATACTATGGGCATCACGGTGCTGATCCAGAATCCTTACATTATTATTTATTACTAGAGCTACAATAATAAAGCAATGAGGAGGGGGAAGTAATAAATATGAAATAATGTCATTATGATGATTCCATTTGTTTCACTATCCACTCTGTGCAGGGCAAAGCTTATTACATTTTTAAAACTGTAGAGATACAATAATTTTACTACTGTAAAATCCAAATTTTGTCTTATTTAAAATATAAATCTGATATAATCTGCTTCTTAATGTATGTTCTTTAAAATACAGCTTGTGTTTTTAAATATATTATAATTATAATAATTTTTATGTGGACATGCATATTAGATCGTTTTTTAGTGAAATATAATCCCTCCAGAAAGGCAGGAAAAGCCCGGAAACTTACTTTAAAACTAAATATGTTCCCTAAAACGGTGACAGAGCTACAGACCCATGACAGCCAGGTAGCCAGCAGCTATGACCAGCACTACTTGTGCAGTTAATAAAAGGACAGGTAATGTTTGTCGCGCTGTTGCACACACAGCACGCTCGTTTGTTTCAGTTCGTCAGTTGCCACAAGACAGCTTACCAACGTGTACGTAATAAGCCAATACTCCTGGGTGCTACACACTACAGTGTACGCTGTACACCTACTTACTGGTTTTGTGGCATCAGTCTGTGTCTCTGAGTTAACTTGTGTCTCTCCTACAGCTCCGGACCGCTAAAAATGCGCGTGCTCTTTGTGAGCTCGTTCCCGGCTCATAACCAGCGCGTTCTGCCGTCAAGGGCGATCATTGGTTAAATGTGATCATGTGACTGATGCAAGCCAGATCCTTTTATTTAGCAAAACTGTGATTAATAGTTAAATATTATTGTTGAGGGGCACAGACAGGACTCTGCACGCACACACACATAAAAAAAAAAATAATAATAATTTTTTTTTAAAAAGTTGCCTCAACAAAAGGGCACTTTGGGCACCCATCAGGAAAGGGGCGGGTGCTCAAGCCATTCTAGCCCCACCCTCTGCACGTGCCTGACCTGGATGACTGAGAACCTTCACAGACATATTGTCTTCAACGTTCCAGCGAAATAGGTTCAAGCTACTAACCTATCAAGTACACTAACGTGGCAGCACAAACTTATAAAGTAACTTCATACTCACCTGGAGGCCAGAGGAGCCAGCTTTCGGCTCGATGGTGAGGCCCAGGGTGACACCTCCGCTAAGGGCTTTCTTCAGGCTCTCTTTCACCTCAGTTAGCTCCAGCTCCAGGTTCACCCGCTCCTCCTCCTTCAGTTTGCACTCTTCTTCCAACTTCTTCAGGCGCTCTGATAGTGAAATATGTGAGCGTTTGCCTAATGTGAGAGAGAGGAGAAATATTACTTTATTAAACTCGTCTTTTAATGACAAGCACGTTTCTATCTCTCTCTCTTACCAGCCGCTGCCTCCACAGCAGCACGAAGGTCTCTCCTCTCCTTCTTCAGCTGGGTCAGGTGGTTTCTGATTTCCTGCTTCTTCTTCATCATCTCTTCCTCCTTTGCTTGCAGTCGCTTGGCATCAGCCTCCACACGGTTCTTCCCATACTTACACTGGTCCCCATCTACACAAGAAAAGTCGGGTTTCAAAAAGTTAGAAGCTAGAGACTGAGGTCATTTGCTAGCAGAGAGAGAGGGGGGGGGGGGGGGGGGGGGGGGGATGAACTGCTTAGAAACCCATTGACCTCAGTGCCTTCCGCAGGAATTAATTGCCAGGCCTATGTTTCCGTGAAAAATACACTCATTGTGAATAATTATGAAGAATCAGTCATATAAACCGCTGCTAATAGTTTCAAATTTAGCACTCTTATCTGTGGTACTCTAAACCCAACATGAAACATTTGGTGTTTCCATTCTGACATTTGGAGGAATTGCAAGCTACACTAAGTGGTTACAACCCTCCTCGTTCACACATTAGGCAAAAAATATTTTTCTGAACCACAAGGATTAACTCGACCACATTTCGCTCTCTTCCAATGAGCTAGGGTCTGTTTCTGCTATCGTGCCTCTTACCCTGGAGTTGGCAGGAGGCTCAAGTCTGGCCCACATGTGTCACATGGATTGTCTCGAGGGTAGGATAGGTTTAAAGGCTTTCAGTTATTTACTCCCCTCTACTTAAACCAACTGTAATTTAGATATCCTGCATTTTCCACATTGCTGTGGAACAGAATTTTGCTTGAAAGCAATCAGCGGTGAGAAGCCAGACACACTGTCTGCTATTCCTTACAGAGCAAGATCTGACTGGGAAAGGTGGGTGATATTTCAATTCAAGATGACTTCCTGTTGGTATCTTCAAATCTCAAAACTTACTGGAGTTGTTGCGCCTCAGAGACGCAGTCCCATTTGTGGCAATGACTCCATTCTTCTTTGGCTGGTTCTTTGGCTCTGCCTTCTGTTTTGATGCCACCCCATTGGTTGTTGCTCCCTTCTTTCCCTTTAGCTGAACAAACAGGAAAGACACAATTCAAATGACCCTTCAAATAGATGTTAGCAATGCATATAAGCTATACACATACAAAACTGTACCAACATGCTCTTCCATAAAAATAAAAAACAAAAAACATTTCAAAGAAAAATGTGTCACTGTTGTTTATGCCACAGGTTTTCTACTTGGATTGCACTCAATATCACAAAAGTTACAAACACTTTTATTATTTCATTAATTTTCCTACACTGGACTACTGTAATTCAATTATCACTTTGTTCCAAAAGTTTCACAAAAAGTCTAAGCTGATCCAGAATAATGCAGCCAAATCACTAACTGGGACTGGAAAGAGAGACTACATTTCTCCCATATTAGCTTCTTTTCATTCCTTCCTTTTAAATTCAGAATTGAATTTAAATCCTTCTCTTGCATTATCAGACATATCTAAACGACTGCACCTTATTATCCTAACAGATCACAGGAGACAGTTTCCTTTTCGGCTTCAGGAGACAGGCATCATCTCTACTTTTGTTGTTTGGTGTTCATAATGACACAGGAAGAAAATCAGCAAACAAACTCCAGTTCAGTTAAATACATAAAGTAAACAAACAGCGAAGGAGAATTAAAAACACTAAAAGTTAAGAGGAGGTTAAAACAAACCCTGAACTGTTAGACAGTTAATATGCAGAAATGCAAAAAGAAACATGAAGGTTATGCAGCAGTGTTAGTCACCTGAGCGGAGTCTTTAGTTTTAGAATCAGCAGAGAGGAACTTAGAGGAGATTTTAGAAACAGGAGTTTTGTAGTGACAAGCAGAAGATGATGCAGCAGTAGAAGAAGAAGGCTTGGGAGGACAGCTGGTGACTAGCTTGGGTGAGGGCATGTTCTCATAGAGCTCAGTGTTTTCATAGTGCAATTCCTCTTTCCGCTGGCGCCCCCCTGTGCTGGGAGTGGAGTACTGCATCTCTGGGTCCTTGGGTTAGACCAGGTGAGCATGCAATAAGCAGAAGACAGGATTTAAGAATAAGGAGATGCCATAAAGGGGGGGGAGATAAGGAGAACAGAAAGGAAGAATATGATAGCAGCATTACTGCAGTATGTGAAATACTTAACAAATTTAGTTTAGCTTCCCAAAATGGAGAGTACTGCTCCACGACTGAAAACATATTTAATGTTTCCTCTTTTTAATTGTTGATGAGCTTTTATCCAAGTCCTATAACGTTAAATCACAGGTTACTCTTTACTCCTTTATTATAGCATCTTTTATGAATAAACAATGTTATATTCTCTGTCTGCTTGTCTTTATTAGTTTTATATCATTATTATCATGCAACAGTGTAATTTTGCTCTTCTTTGGGTGCAGACTGACTCAGCCCTCAGGTTCATATGTAAATCTGTCAGGAGGTCAATGAGTGCAGAAGGTAAAAGCTGTGGTATGCAAGGGGCCCGAGCACCATTATTGCAAATAGCAAAGTACATACCGTTACTTTAACTGGTCTAATTTGATTTTAGGAAAGAAAAAGATTTATATCATGCAGGCTCACTGGAACTTCTGAAAGTGTCATAACAAAAATGACACATTTTCCAATAATATGTTAATGATATGCAAAAAATGAAAAGCAAAGAAAGAATCAGCCAAGAGTTTGTAAGCAAACTAGAGGGTGTTGAAGTGAATTATCTCACACTTTTTCATTGCAGTACATATGCAACATCAGTAAGCAGTTGTGTCCTTACCATTCCATTTATGGGCACATCATCATAGTGTAGTGCCATACCAGTGGGGCAGGCATAGCCACTGACTGGGTTGTCCAGATATGGGTTAGGAGACACGGCACGCTTACTGGTGAAACTAAACATAAAACATCACGATTTAGGCTTAAAAATACAGTGCCCTTCATATATCTTCATTACCTGGGATTTTTGTATCTCTTAGTCTACAAAATAGTTAAAAATGGATCATTAACGGTTGTAACGATCGTATAAAAACAGGAAAATGGAAAATAGCCAGACATACTACGTTTCAACATATAAGTCATTGTGAGCTAATGAAATAAGAAATAAAACACATTAAGCACTAATTCTTTAAGAATTCTTCCAGGTATTAACCAGAGAGAAAAAGATTCATGTGAAATGATGTGGATGCATCTCTCACCAGAAGGACTGTTTGGCAAGCTGGATGACGTTAGCAGTGGTCTCAACATCAATGTAGTCATAGTGCAAGGTGGCTGGGTCTGTGGTAGATCCAGTCTCAGCTAGCAAAACCCCCAACCAGCGACCCATCTCCTCAGAGGAGGAGGCCTGAAGGCAAAAGTCAGAGTTACAGAATATGCAATCCCGCCAGTGTCTGTGAAGAGTTAAATGTTAAAAAAGAGAGAAGGTTTATGATTTAGTGAAGGAGGACAGTAGAAACAGGGTGAGATGGAGGCAAATGATCCCCCAAAAAGACCAGCCAAAACAAGAAGAGGATCCTTATAAACTTTAAATTCCTTATTATTATTATCTGTTTAAATGAAGATAATAATAATTGGATTGTTTAAGGATAGCGTGCAGACTATGTGAGGAAATAGAATCAAAACAAACTGGATGGCAATTGGAGGAAGTTTGTGAAGACCAACAACATTAAACACAAAAATCACTGTGGGTGGAGGAGATATTGAGCACTCGAGAGGAAGATAAAAAAATAAGGAGCAATCTTTTCTTGCATCAGCCTAAGTGTGATTTAGTGGTGTTTGAGGCATTTCTAATTCCCTCAACAAAGTTTTTTTTCTATGAAAATCTCTCAAGTACGTAATCAAACTCACCTCCAGTACGGCCACTTCTTGGCTGTTACGAAGGAGGCGGAAGGCAAAGGGGTGTTTGTGATCGAGGCCGGGGCTGACCTCACAGCCTCGGAGGGGCAGTGAAGCTATGTGGCTTTTCAGGTCATCCCGGTCCTTGTGAAGGAGCAGCTGGTTGTCCTTGAGGCGGCACCAGCGCTCCCTCCAGCGGTTATTAGAGAGAACATTCAGGTAGCCTGTCAGAGCAAACACAGTCAGGAGGATACCATCTTAAAGAAGCCGTTACAGTGGCAATATTTTTTCAGGCCTGTCTAGTTGGGAGACATTTTAGTCGTACCTATTTGAGCCTAAATGAAGGAAATAATAAGACATAAAAGGCATTTCTATTTGTTTGTCCATCACTGGTCCTCATTGCACACAATGGGGTGCACTTCTAAATGAATTTTTTAAAGAAACTTTTAGAATCTTTATGTTTTATAATACGTCTGAAAGCATAAGGAAATCAAAGCAACCTGTCTGAACTGTTTACTTTCAGGACCCTAACATAGCAATCTTAAGAAAAAACTTCCTAGAAGTGAGTCGCACCACTCAGCAGCCATTCTGAAACGCCTCTGGCATTACTTTGAAACATTTTCTTAATTAACCAAAATTCCAAAGATTCCTTGGGACATAAATGCATTTATAGACCGGTCAATCAATCAAGATCCATATAAAAGCCATACTTCTACCATGTCAGGATATTTGCGTCTCTCTCTCTTACCACATGTAGGTACGTCTTCTTCAGCTGATGATGTCTGTTCATCCGTGGAGGGCTTCTTCTTTCCAAGTCCAATGATCTTAGTGATTTTCTTACTTGCTCCCTTCCCCACAGTGCCAGTCTTCTGCTCCGACTTTGTATTTTTCTTTCCTTTTCCTGAGAGAACATTTTGAAATTAATTCCTTTTTTACACTGAAGAGTAAATTAGTAAAAAGAACTCTAACGATCCTTGCTGAAGGCAATCTATGATCTTGATCTCAGCACAGGAAAATACCAAGATAGATGTTGATTCAGTTATGTTTGGATGCTTTTGTAATAATGTAAAAAAGAAGAGAAACCTTAGATTCTACTATAAACAACGCCGAGTTCCGAACGGGTTTAATCAGACCCTTGTGTTCAAAAAAGCAATGTTGGAGAATTAAACTCATTTCAAAATCCCAACATTCCCTCTGGTCTGAGTGTTCTGATTTGAGCTGCCCTAGTTTCTATTCAAATAGCAAAAGAGAGTTGAATGACTGTGCACATTCTGCTGGAAAGAGGGCTAACAGTGAAAAAAAAAAGGCCATGAGAGGCTATGTCTGAGTCGCTCTGTCTGTGTAAGGAAAATAGCTTCTGCTTGACTCTCTTGCTTTGCTGATACTCTGATCTGTGATGTATCTGAATGAGTGTAAAAGAGAGTGAGAAAATATAAGAAAGACAAAAGAAAGATGTGTGTTTTAATGTGTTTGTATCTCTACACTAGAAAGGAAAAAAAAGCTTGACTTTTAACCTCTCTGTACTGTCAGACATCGAGGCAAAACAGACAGTGGAGAACAAGCGGGGGAGGGAAATATAAAGCATTCCCCTTCACTTATGTCATAGCCAACGTCTGGACTGACTCTAAACACACATGTGAGATCTGTATAATCACTGAGGCCAGTTTGCACTTGCACTTGCACACACACACACCCATTAATACTTAACAGGAATCAGCACCTGGCTGCTGAAAACAGTGAATAGCAGTCCAAACTGATATGATATAATGACAGCAACTCCCTGTGTTAACTTCCTCTTTGCAGTCAAAAATTCCCGATTTGGCATTTTTCCCACATTGCATTTTCCTCCCCGAATGCAAGATGACAATTACCATGGCAACTGTCTTAATTAAACAGTAAGCTGTCTGCAGTCAATTTAAGATGCAGGGTCTTTCTTGCAATAACAAAAGAATACAAAGACACAATGCAGGGCTGAGGTGGAGCGTAGACACACAGTTGTAAAAGTAATTAAAAAAAAAAACTCTGATCAGGCTAATTTAATTCCAGTAAATCAGCTTTTTTTGTTACCAGCCATGGAAAGAATGTGGCTGATTAAGATTATGAGAGTTCTTGGACTGAATAAGAGAAGGAGCAAAGGATGAGAACTACTAACTATTTTTTTGGCAATTATTACAGCTGATGATGTTGCTGTGACGATACTGCATGATTAATATATGTGAATTCTGCCCCAATCAGTCAGAGAAAAACCACATCCAAAACTTCCTGAAGACTTTAAACATGGTTTGCAATAAATTTTGGTGTGACAGAAGTCACATTAATAGTCGCCAATGTTCCCTCTAAGCTGCGCACGTGCGCAATTGCGCACTGCAGGCACGGTTTCTGCACACAGAAAATCTGCATTGCGCACAAAAAAAAAAACTAACCTGAATTGAAAATAAAACTTTAACAATTCTGTTTTGCAGTGTTAGTCAGTAAGTGACTGGCTGCTCCCGTATGGGATTAGAACGATGCCACCTTATCCCATAGTCCAGCCGATAATGTGATTCACATTTTTATACGCAGCCAATCAACGTGGTTGACAGGCTATGACAGCGTCCTTATGTGCCGACACTGGCGTTTTAACTAGCAAAGCGGCGTGGCTGATGTGGAGTGAAGCCACGTTAATGACAACGTGTACAACCATTGGAGATGTGAGCAGGACAGACGGAACAATTGACGGAAAAAGTGTGGACTTTCTACCAGTTTTTAAATTGTGTTGATAGGCCACGTAAAACCAGAGTTATGATAAAAATATCTGCAATGTTTGGTTTCCTTCCTGAATACTGTCATTGTTTATATTTACTGCAGGAAGAAACGGTAAAAACGGCGTTTTATAAGGAAAAAGGCTCGAAAGCACTCTCTGTATGTGAGCAAAAACAAACCCCCACCCCCCTCTTTCTTTCCTATTCGTCCAAAAAAGTACCATGTCGACCAATCAAAAAAATGGTATGGCAACGTGGCAACTAGTTAGAAACGGGGGGAAAGTTTAGGAGTGACGGCGGTATTTTGAGATGTGAGAGATTTGAGACGTTTAGCTCAAATCTTGTGTAGTTAGTGTGTAGTGTAGTCAATATATTTGTTGTGTGCGTCAGAACAATGAGGCGACTGCTGAATGTTACAGGTGTTACAGCAGTGATACATCTCCTGTTGTCAGGCCTGCAGGTATCAGGCTGTTGTTCTCCTTTATCTAGTGGACAGAAATTATTTTTTGGAGTGTCACAAATAATTTGTGTGGCATCAAATTTGATGCAGAACAGCTGATTGTTCTGTAAATAGTTTGAAATGTTTATTTAAAAATGCCTCGGCTGCATTTTAAAAAAATAGCTGCAAAAAACTTTGTTTGCCAAACTGAGTTACTTTTTTGAGGAGTAACTATATAATTATACAGAGAGTTACAGGACTCTCTCCCAGACCACAGACTCATAATACAAGTCAGAGCTTTATAAAAAGAAAAAGAAAAAGAAAGTTGGTTTTTTTTTTTTCGAAATTGGAGTTCAAGTCATTTTTACTTCCAATAGTGTTAACATACTACACAGGCCAATGGCTAGATTTTTTTTTTACATTTTCATTGTAAATGGGCTGAAGCAGTTTAAAAGTAGTCTAACATAAATGTAAATGCTGTAATTTGATTATTTTAATAAACCATGTAACTTGGATGGATTAGATGCTGGCGTGACCACAGTGCACACGTCTGATGTCACTCAGGGAGTTTGTGTGTTCGCTCAGACACGTGAAAAATTAGAGGGAACATTGGTAGTCGCTGAATTATTTTCTCACAATGTTGGTTCTAAAACTATGTTATGCACTTTACTACTGTTGGAGTGGAAGTGGATTCATTTTTCTTCCCTCTTTCTGGGTTAGTATCGTGGACAGCGTGAAAGACAAATCTACCATGACACCATCGTGGTGTTTTGAAACCAGAATGAGGCGTTGATCTGACCCTGATGCCACATGCTAATTTTTACTAGCAATTTTTCAATCATAGGTCATTAACCAATGACCGTATAATGAATAATGCCCCTTTATGGCTCTTACAATGACCAGATTGATCAAATAAATGCTGTTTTCAATCTGACCCAAATTAAGTGACTGAGTTCATAAACTCACCAGGAAAGGAGATCACAGGACCAGGTTGAAATAATAGCAACTTATTTATAAGCAGGGCTGAGGACCTATATTCTAAATTTGAGTAAATGTAGTGCAGCAAAGGAAAAGCTGTGCTAAAACAGTCAGACAGAGAGAGAGAGAGAGATCTTTTTATTATTATTAATGGAATGCTAATGTTTACTATATAGCAAATTATCACAGAGTCAGTAACAGCATGTAGGTCTTTGGGATCCAATTAATTCTAACCACCCCAAAGCGTACTTCATTGTTCAAAGATGCACTCTTTTTTCAGTACACATCTTGGATATTACCCCAGATCTCATAATTTCATGGAAGCAACACAGAAAAATGTCTTGCACAACCAAATGTTTTCAAATCTTGAAACCCAATTGGTTGTTAGACTTTAAATCAACTGCTGGTGGGAAATTTGTTTCAGATACAATTCTGGAAAAATTCACCAATCTAAACAGAGCAAAAAAATAAGAGTGTTAAATTTTAGTTGACAATCCAAATAACTGAGCTGACAAGTAAAGTGAGTTTTCTCTCCCAGAAGAATTGTGCCAGCTGAGAAAACACACAGTAAATAATCTGAGAATATTTCAACGGTATCTCTTTGTTTTGGCTTTTAGTTGAGTGAGGAAAGACCATCCCCATGTAAAAGCATGTTAAATAAATCCAAATGCTCATTCTTCAGCCTTCAATAAAGGCTGACCTTTCCACAGCTTGCGGAGATTCCTCTCTGAATTATGAGGGAGATTACGTGAGAAAGACAGCCATTCAGCCTGAGAACAATTCTTTACGGTTCCAAGAAACACCAGTTTTAATAACTCCTGTCCCTCACTGAATTTTATTATTGATGTTGTACTGTGCCATGGGGCTATGATTAAAGGTACTATGTGAATGCAATGTGATCGGAATGGCACTATGAAAACAAGCTTTTAGCTCAATCACACAGTCTTCATTAGATTGTTCATCTGTCATGGATCTGTTGACATGCAAGCTCAAAGCTGATTTTATTTAATCCATGGCATCCAGATGAAAAGATACTTTCTGTTTGGCACCATAAAGGGCAACTACTGGTCTTCATTCACCTTGACCAGAGATCCAGAATTGCAGTTGTTGTAGTTGTTGTTACTCATAACACAGAGATTGTTCAGACCTTTTTGTTTTAAGCACAAACTAAAATGGATGAAAATGATTCATTTCTGGTAGCAACTGTCGTTGTGACTCTCACCTTGGTCCTTGCAGTCGCTGTGACCGTTCTCATGGGTTGCTTCCCCATCTGAGCTTGGCCTGTCACACGATGTCTTCTGGAGGCAGGACAACCACAGAGAAAAAAAGAAGAAGAAAGAAAAGAATGGGTGTACAGGAAGGTACATAGTGAACAAAACTGTACTTTCCTGAGGCCAGACAAGTCAAGAAGCTAATCAACACAGCTAATTACACTGCAGTAACATCTGCAACATGTTACAGATGAGATTAGGCTGGGCTTACGTTTGCCATGCCAAGTTGGAAGAGGTTTGTCAGGCACACATACATGTGCCGAGTGCAGTTTGTCCACAGTGATTTTACCTGCTTTTTTACCTGCTTTTTCCCATGAAAGCCAAATTTCCTGTCTGTGCCATATAGAAGTAAATGTTTTTAGACACCGCCTGAAAACATACTGTGATTTTGAAAATACAAGGTTATGTCTACAAGAATACATTCATCTAAGGAGTTTTGGAACCAAATAATCTATTATTGACGTTTGAAAATTTATTGGCTAAGGCCAATAGCCTTATGTCATCTTTCTCCTTCCTGTGTTCATTGGAAAGGCAGTAGTGTGTCAACAGAAAAAAAAGAAAATTGCTCGTAAGAAGCAAGTGTCTGCTTCAAAAAACAGCAACAAATCCTGGTTTAACAGATTAAGTACGTGTAACCTTTTATTGACACTGGAAGCACATTTTATTAAACTAAACTGGTGTTAATTACAGTGGGAAGACAGATATTTGATTCAAAACACTGCTATTCCATGAAGTTATCTATTGCACAAATAATAGTAAGCCAAGGCTAATAAATTAAGGTACCATCTGAATGACATCACGCACTATATATATATATATATATATATATATATATATATATATATATATATATATATATATATATATATATATATATATATATATATATATATAAAACCGCAAATCGCAAATCTTCTACCAACCTGAAACCTGATTCAAACCCTACAAAAGCAACGCTTAATAACAAAATACAACAAGCTGTTAAAATGACTATCATCTATCAGTGTGAGTGTGTTCTGTTTACCTTTTCCAGTTCAGGTTTATGCACTGGAGATCCAGATCCAACTCCATCCAAATCTATGCTCCCATTAACACACACCTCTCTCATCACCTAGGAACACCACAAGGAAATACGCCATTAGCTAACGTGGCTGCCATTCACATTAAACAAGTCCACAGTCACACATTTGATTGCCGCTGTGGGAGATCAGATGCCGCCATCTGTAACGGCTCCTGACTGCTGATCATACCATGTGGGTGGATTCCTAATTTAAAAATCCTAAAATATTTCCTCGCTGAATTGCCACATGATTAAGAAGCTCATTCCTTCAGTCTAGAAGGTTTGACTGGGGTAATGCAGGCCACATGTATGGTGAACTCTCTCACATCTCATCATGCTACTGAATCACAGCCAAGGGAGCAACAAGCAGTGCATGAACTGCAGGAGGGAGAGCATGCATGCATGTGGTGTGTGGCAGTAGTTGGTGGCGGGGTGGGGGTTGGCAGGTCTGTAACAAACATGAGACACAAAGACTTTGCCTGCATTCATGGAATCCATACACAATAAGGTCCAGTAGGGGTGAATGAGATCTGCAGAGCTGTGAATAGGGCGCCAGCGTGCTTTACCATGACCTCATTGGATGTCTGACCTGGCAACCCACCATGGGATCTGGCAATCCCAGACATGTGGCAGTGACAGAGAGTGCAGATGAACAGTGGGTATAGCAAAATGAGATTTCAGTTGAACCGCTGTGTGCGCAAGTTGGCTAATGCACTCCCTGACACACATGCAGACACACACACACACACACACAGACACACACACACACACACACACACACACACACAAACTCCCACTCGTCTGAACCATCTCTAGCTGCGCTGGGCTCCTCAACTCATTGGTTTTGGCTTGGAAGGAGCATAACTGGGTTTCGTGGGGGAAATGACAGGCTGTGGCTCCATGGGTTTGGCTCTGAGAGCAGCTAAGAGGCCAGAGAATGGGATAGACAGCAACATCATGTCTATCTTTCCTTCGGAGAGCTTTTGCTGCCATGCCAGTGTACTACGTAGGTCTGATAATGCACTACAAATCAAAAAGAGGAGGAGGTGGTGAGACTGGAGGCTATAACTATGGGTGCTGAAACACAACTTGCAATAAAAAAGAAAATAGTGTTGACTGATGACTTGTTGCTCATTGCTTGTTCACCTCCTTGCAGTGCACATTTTGCAATTTTATGGTATAAAAACAGCTTGATTTCTTTACAGATGAAGCAACTTGAAGCATTTAATAGACGTGAAACCCATTCTTTACAATGTCTGCAAACCTACAAATGGCTGTCCCTCCATGACCCTGGTTCTCTTCCTGTTAAAAGGGATTTGAAATAAAGTTTTCTGTCTGTCTGTCTGTTTGTTTGTCTGGCAAAAGATAAAAGAAAAAAATGATATAATCAACCAACACAAACCTTTTGTTTTCTGAGTGATTGCTTTTGGCAGCACTTATCCAATTGATGCAAAAAAACCAAAACAAAACTAAAAATAAACTAATCTGTCTGTCTCAGGGTTTGTTTGGTTTTTTTGTTTTTTTGACAATTCATTGAGGCCTATTTTAAAGGCTCATGCTGGAATAGTTGCATTACAGCTCAAGCTATAAATGTATTGTAAATGCTTATCTTGAAAGTGATGAAGGCATTGCCATGCACAGGACAACCATACACTGTCAAGGAGTTTGAACAAGGGGTTGGACTGTAATGGAAACTTGAGCAGATAAGCTGTGACTAACAGTGCACATTCCACTTACTTCCCCCAAAATTTATGCAGGCAAAGAAAAGAAAAGAGAAGTTAGTCAGTCAGCGAGACAAAGAAATGAGGTCAGACTATATCAGCAGGCAAAGATGAAGACAAAGAAGGAGTTAGGGCGTGGGGAATCCATACAATTAAAAAACACTGAAAAGGAAAATGAAGCAATGACACAATATGGACATGTGTGCTCCATAAACACATCGTTAGGCTACAGGGTCTGGGAGAGTCATTATTGTAAACTATGGGCTTTGGAAAGCCTCAGGTACTCTCCCAGCTTTCCCTTCACCCTGCTTTCTTTCATTTCTTTCCTCTCCTTCTTTTGTGGAGCAAAGCAGAGCTGCTCCTTCTGTTGAATCCGATGACTTCTATTTCACATGCTGACTTCATGCTGACTTCTATTTCACTGTTGGCCAGTGGGGGGAAAATATCCAAATAAATTTGAACTTCTTTGATTCAGATCGATAATATTCAAGAATGACTGTTACTGAAGCTCAATGTCTCTCTGGGTAAAGATGAGCTTGTGAGAGGTGGACAAAAAACACAAAGCTCAAGAGACAAAAATAAATTTAAGGGGGAACAACGAATACTTAAAATATCCAAAAACAGTCTCAATTACTATTTTTTCCTTCTTCTTTTAATAACCTGTCCTGTCCAGCAGTTTTAGTAAGTTGAATTGTAGTCTGCATGTTCAGTTGTGGCAACCACAAAGAGACAAAGAGGGAGGGGGGCAGCAGACACACTGGGACATATCCACTTTGTGTGACTTGATGCCACTCTTACACACCCCACAGCTGAAGGGAACACAGACCAGCCAAGGAACGTAACCCTGCATGTAACAAAGCCAACTGTAGTGGCATGACGAACTACATGTGCATCAATTAAGTAAACAAAAAAACCCAGAGCAATTGCTAGAGTTACAAAATACCTGCCACGGCACTATCAGTTCAATTTGTTTCCACAATCCCGACACCTGACTAAATATGTGTCCAGACCCAGTTTCTCCAAGCAACAATTTGTGCACTCATTACCATCACTCGGATGGTTGAGGGATTTGTATATTTTCATGGGTCTGGTTGAAACCGCCTGCAGATACTTCAGCCCCCCGATGAGGTTACCTGCACCAGCCAATCAATAAACAACATCTAATTACCATGCCGAGCAAGTAATTGAATGAAGAAGAAAAAATCCAAACTGTTTGGGTCTTTGTTTCCTGACTGCAATAAACATGCTACAGCTGAAACTTCCAGAGAAAGACCAAAAGGAAACACTGCATATAGTAAGACTGGTGTTTCCATCAGTACATGGGGAAAATATGCTTGAGGGATTGTTTTCTTAACAAGGAGGAAAACAAGAAGACAAATCACATATTCAAGTCTAAAAGTCCACTGGAACTGCTGGAGGCCACAAATGTTTATAAAAAATACCATCACACAAATGCGCTAGGAGGCATCTTAAAATAGCACACGATAGGTTGTTGAGAAACCATAAATTTCAGGAGATACATATGAGATCTGAAGGGAGCAGAGATGAGAGGGAAGAATGTGGGGTGGGGGTTTCCTTTTAAAACAAAAAGACCAGATGACACCCACCATCAATGTAACTGAAACAGACAGAGCACAGAGGTGCTCTCCAACAACAAATGGTTGCAGGGATAGAAAAGCAGTACCGGAGCTTATTTGATGTCAGCGGGGCGGGTTTGTTTTGTGGACTTGTTGAGCTGCCAGAAGGAAAGATCAGAGAGTGAAAGAGAAGACAGGGGAAGGAAGAGGGGGGGGGGGGGGAGTCTGTGAGAGAGAAGCAGAAGAAAGGACTCAGAGGACTGCAAACCAAACATCTCCACATGAGAGAGAAACCAGCAGAACCACCTGTTCACAACAAACCAGTCATACAATACGAGGAAAAGGCCCATCCTGAGGAAGAAAGCCAAGACAGTTACACCCTTTATTCTTTAAAAGTAACTTGAACCCACTCTCTAAAACATGTGAAAGCAACTTAAAGGCTGATCTCAAGATATTTTAGATGTTCAGCAATCAAGTAAAGCTAGTAAAGCTCCAAGAAAAGCTAGTATGCTGCACTGGTGTTCTTGTCAGCTTCAAAGTTGGGCCACACAGAATGCTCTTTATCTACTGATTAACTCTTTACCCCTTAAAAGCCTGCCAGGCATAACCTTTGAAGTTCTCTTCTCAACTGAGTCGTTTGAGTAGAAAAAAAAAGACTGGGTGTGCACCCTTGAAAAATCCAGAAACTATTCTAATGGTCGTCAAACCACAACTTTATTGATACATATCAATAAAGATGTCAAAGCTCGTCATTATTGGTACAAATTCCATCTTTATGGGAAAAAGAGTTCAAACAAACACCGTCTCTATCCAGTGTGATGGTAAAAGCAGTAGTTTTGAGATTTATTGATGTACCTTAAGCCACTCCTCGGCCTGTTCTTTGCTCTGCACAGCCAGCACCAGGGCGTCTGCACCTTGGTGGACAATCTTTAGTTCGTGCTTCTTTTTCTTGCCATCTTTAGGGATGTGTGTGATGCTGCACACTGACAGGTTCAGCTCCATTTGGGGAGTGTGGTCTTTGGAGGATTTGTAACACTGCATGAAGAGAAAGATTCTGTTTGTAGTGCAGTTTATGCTCACCATTTGTACGTACACAGACAGTAACATGCCTGAGTGTTTCTCACCAGCAGTTTGTTGTCTTTGATGACACATAGGAGTTTGGTCCACTGGCCGAAGCGCTTCTTGCGCAGCAGGAATGCACAAATCCGGGCGTCCTTCACGAGGTCCATGGACGCTTCCTCAGAGGGCCACTGGTGACGCATCTTCTGGCTCTTCCCATCCTCCTCTTCCTCATCGTACGACTCATAGGAACTGCTCATGGCATCCGAGTCATAGTCTGAGAGGGTATGAATAGACTGCCCTTCATTTTATATTCAAATCAGGTAACGCAAAAAATTGGGACACACTCACTTTTTTCTTCAGAAGTCTGTAACATAACTACTGTTACATGATTGATGTGTTTTATATATTAGCTTGTCACTTACTGGAGGTGATGTATTCTGGAGCCTTTCCAGGACCTAAAGGAACCGCTTCCTCATAGTAGCCTTCTGGAAGAGATGAGCTGGGCAGGGGAGGGGGCCCGTTATTTGGAGTCTGCAGAGTGAACACAGGTTTCCTCTACTTTTAATAATGAAACTTCAAATGACATTTTAGCTGCTTTGAAACATGGCACTGAACTGATCTGGTCTAGAACCTTCAATCATTTCAGCACTTGCAATTCAACTGACAAAACAACAGCCCTCTACATTAGCAATCACCAGGCACATCAATTGCTTTCATTCATGACGCCTGGCTCTTCTGTGCAGAGATGTTTTTTCAAACAAAAATGCTATACACTATTCCTGGGATTATTTCCTTTATTTCCTCTCATCATCAATAATGAGAGGAGATAAAAGACCAGTTTTACATTCAAATGTATCAATATTTTCATACATTCTCATTCATACAAAACTCTACCCATCATGCCTCAAACACAAAGGGGAATTAAGGATACCAGCCATGATCTTTTGTCTTCAGTCTTTAAAGGTGGTGACGATAATTCAAAATGATTAATCTCCCCATCTGCCTTTAATCACTGTCAGAACTACAAAAAGGAAGTAATTAGCTGCTGTAACATGAAGAAGGAGATATTCTTCTGGTCCAATACAACTTAGAGGAAGCCATTAACAATGTTGTCAGTGCAGCATTGAGCCTACTTCATTACTAAGTGTCACTTAATAGACACTGACAGAGCAAAACAGAGGCACAGTGGTTGCCGTTGTTTTGCTGAGGAGTCTTTCACTTTTCAGGTCAAAATCAGAAAATATTAGGTAGAAAGACGAGACAATATAATTAGACAGTGTCTGAAAGAGAAAACAAGAAAGTGTCGGTAAAAGAAATCAAATCCGAAGTTGTGTTAAAGACACTAAAAATGGCTGAAATTATACCAACAGAAAGATACTGACATAATTCCACAATGATTAACTGTGGTCTTAAATGGAGTTAAAATATTTTCATGCCATTATACTGCAGAGCTCATGAGCAGTGAAGCTGAAGGGTGGGGGTGAGACGTGCTTTGTTTGGACGTGTTCTCGTTGGCACTGCACAGTCCTACAAATCTAGTCAACAGGGTGAGGGATCAACTGCGCAGCCTGACGTGATCCATCTTGGCTGCGTCGCACTTCTCAGACATTTCACCTCGTACTAAAACAGCACTGTGGCTACAAACATCAAATCTGATAATGTGGTTTAACACTGGAACAAATAGCTTAGTGGCCGGCATACGTCAATGTACATATATTTTTTCCATTGCTGTGGAGTTGGGAGTTTTTGAAAGTTCCCCATGGAGTGCTACGACTTCTGTGGAACAGCTTTTTGATGAGTGTGTCCTTGTTGTGTTTAATGGATTCTGAGGTTCTCTATTTTGATGTTGGTGATGTCACATAAGTAGTAATATAGATGTTTTCAAAACGCTTTAAAAACACAACCCTTCTTTTAAATCACTAATATGACCCAGCTGAGTGTAGCATAGCTTATTAATGTTTCTTCTAGAGCCTCAGTTTAATAAGCAGCCTACACCGAATACAAGCCAGAGAAACTGAAAGTGCATGACATGTTGTCAAGTTGTAAAGACCTTATAAGGCCACACTCTAAGCGTCCCTGAAAGCACTTTTAAAAAAGACCAAGCCCGGCTGCTATGGCTGCACACTTATGGAAAACCTCTTTGATTTCCCTTTTTATTTTCTTTACTGATGGTATTGCCGATTTTCCAGTTATAGATGGGAGAAACATCATAAGTGCAGTCTAAGTCTATGTGCTAAGGGCCATAGGTTACAGCCGGCCCAATCAGGTGTCAGGGCTGCATTGATGTAAGCACCCATTACTGTAGCAACCTGGGACATAAAAAGGACTTGGCTCATGCTCTCAAAGCACAGAAAGTGTGTGTCACTACAACATGACAGTGCACCGTCCAACATCACAGCGTTGGTCATAATTATGGCATTTCTGTAATGAAAGAGCACTATTGAATTTTGGTTGTACATGTCTATTAGTGAATTAAGATGCCAAGAAAAAGCCATTCTGTTTTGAGTATCCTTCTCGTCATTTTTATATTCTAGTATCTCTAGTGTTGAGTGGAGAGGAAAGCTGGGAGGGAGTGGGGAAGAGTTGTAGCAAAGGAGCTCGACTTGGACTTAAACCTGGGCTGTTCTGATTTTTTTTTCCTTTCTCTGGTAAGACAGTAGAAATCGTGACTCAAACATACAAACACACATATATGCTAAAAGTCACTCACTGAAGCCAAAGTATAAACTTGTGTGATGGTCTGTATCTCCATAGCAAGCTAAAATATTAGTCAAATAATCCCTTCTAAAATGCTCCAAAAGGATCCAACAGATACAGGTAGTTATAAAAATAACTTTTTAGCCCATTCGGGTTTGTTATGAAGGGGAGGAAGTACAACATCACTTTTGTACTTTTGCTTTTCACTGCTGCAAAGATAGGCATTTTAACATCGGAGTCTGGAAATTGACTGAAGCCAGCCTCAAAAGGCACCTCGAAGGACTGCAGTTTTTGCCACTTTCACGTAGGCTTAATTTTGTTTTTATTTGTCATTTGTTGAGCAGGAAGAGTGAGAGCTTGTTTTCATGCAGAGTACGTTCTGGATCAAAATGTGGTACAATCGTCGTCGTCGTCTTTTTTTTTTTTTTTAAATCGTTGTCATTTGGAAATGAGATCGCACATAAGTATGAATCGAGATCGCGATTTTCTAACGATTAATCGTGCAGCCCTAGTGTCAATGCTCGTAAAACGTTTAACACGTCACTAACACCAGAGATGGGCAGTAACGCGTTACTGTAATCTGATTACTTTTTTCTTTTTCTTTTTTTTTTTTTTTTTTTTTTTTTTTTTTTCTAAATGACATCAGAAACAGCAGTATGCGACATTACGTGATGGCAGAGCTTCAGTTCATCCTTTGTCATTTTTTTTTTTTTTTTTTTTTAATAAATAGGACAGGGGGAATGAATGAGAGAGAGAGAGGGGGAGAGAAAGAAAGAAAACCCAAAGGGGAGAAGAGACGGTGAGAAGGGGGGGGAAGAGAGAGAGAAAAAAAAAAAACTCCTGGGTCACCTGTATGGAGAAAAAAAACCAAAAACAAACAAACAAAAACAAACAGAGGAGACAGCAAACAACAAAGAGCAACATAATAATAGAGAAAACAAAGCACCATCACAATAAACTAGCTAGTCATAGATATCAGTATTTACTAAGTAATAAACGATATTGTGCAGCACGCAAGATAGACAGCGCACAGTGTGCTTTGAGGCAGCAGCCAAGAAAGCTTTAGTCCGCGTCTGTGAATACCCATGTGTGCATACCTGTGTGGATCAGCATGCTTGCATTCCAAAGGTTTCTCCATGTAATGATCTGCTAGGGAGTGTGGGGGGGCCACAGCCCCGTCCTCCAGGGTGTGAAGCGGGTATGGAGGAGATCAAAACTCCAGACATCCAGAGGCCCCCAGAACACAAGAGACCATGGAAGACCAACAGAGGGGCAGCCGCGCCACTGTCCCAGTAAGAGCTGAGGAGAGTCCCAGATGAGGGCTCGCCCAGCAGCCGCGGAGCAGAAGTCAGGGGGAGTTGCAGTGACGCGCCCGTGAGCTCCGCCGGCCCCCAGCTGCGCCTGAGTGACCGAGCCCTAGGCCGAGAGGCCGGGGGCACCCCACCTCCAAAGGGGCCCGAGCGAGCCCCAGGCCCCAGGCCCCGACAAGCGGCCGCCAAGGAGTGAGCCGGTGTGCACCCGGATACCCACCCCCAGACACAAAGAACCACCAACACACCGACACCTGAGGGAGTCCGCCACCGGCAGGGGAAGTGGTGGTGGGTGGAGATAGGCCTCCAAACCTTGGAGGGCCTGAGGTGTCCCCTGATTACTTTTTTCAAGTAACGAGTAAAGTAAGGGATTACTATTGCAAAAACGGTAATTAGATTACCGTTACTTTCCCGTAGGAACGCTGCGTTACTGTGTTACTAAAACCGTGATTTTTTTGCGAGAATGTCTCATGACAGTGACGTAAGCGAGTGCGCCGTTAGTGACAACAGCTGTGTGCAGATCAACAATGGATCACATATCGATTGTGGGAGAGAGTATGAGCGTGCAGCGTTTAAAGCGTGGAAGTACTGACCTTACTTTGAGTTTGATTCCATAAAAAGTTACAAAAACATTAGCGTCCATCGTGCGTGGGAAGAAAACTTCTTTTTACAGCGAAAAAAACCCCCTAAACTTCCAAGCAAGCACTGAGTGCGCAACGACGTAATGGGAAACTCACAGAGAAACTCGCGGATTCTTCAACTGACCGCGGCACACCTGCACCAGGGTAAACCTCCGCCTACCGCAGTCCTGCTTTACAGGTGAAAATAGAGCAACAGGACCGCTGAGTCTTTGACTTTATTTATTTTCTGCTGTGTTTTACTTGCATCTATTTGAAGGAGTGAGTGTAAACACAAAAAATATTTTATTTTATGTGCTGGAATGTGCAGAAAATAGGTTTAAATATTAAACAAATTCCTTCCAGTCAGAGAATGTTGCATATAATTAAATATTTGCTTGATGCATAAAGTTAAAAGATTAAAACTGATAAAACAAGTTTTAAAAAGAGACTTTTCCATTTGATTACATTTTGTATGATGGGTTATGTAGAAAAAGTAGAATTGGGCTGAAAGATCTATCACTTTATCACCTCTTCAGGTTGTAAATCGTGTTTTTAAAAAGTAACTAAGTAACTAAGTAATTAATTACTTTTGAAAATAAGTAATCAGTAAAGTAACGGGATTACTTTTTTGGGGAAGTAATCAGTAATTAGTTACTGATTACTTTTTTCAAGTAACTTGACCAACACTGACTAACACTGAAAACATAATATTGGCGAAATTCTTATGTTAATAACTGAGCCAAGCCAACTCTTCATCCTTGAATCATTAGAAGAAATGAGGCATTTTGGGTCGAAAAGATGAAATATAAACACTTAAAAACAAAATAATCAATTATAAATTATTCAAAGTTCTGGGACCTGACACTTTCATTCATGAGGTTTTCCTTTCTCAAGCCAAACCACA